AGCAAAAGAATGTTTCATAAAACTATTCAATTAGAACCATAATAATGAATGTTAAAGGTGAACTATCTCATTCAAATTGAAATATGAAATTGCTGATTTGCAGAAGGAAATAATTTCCCTGGCAATCTTTATGTTAGGTCCAAATGATAATGTAATGCTTTATAAGCGGTCTTTTCAGGCTTGCTGCAGAACCCTTTAGCAGGAATTAAGGTTTCAATGAAAAGAACTAGTAATAATTGTTGGTAAAATTCTGTAGACTTCTCATTATAATTTCTGTTAGATTCTTTTTATGAAATTCTTACTTTTTAATTTTTTTTTGTATTCTGTGAGATTTTTCCATAAAGGAATTACAGTTTTTAGGTTTCTTTCATGGCTTTTTCTTGTTCTTTTCTTCTTTTCACACACCATCATATTCCTTGCAGTTTTAGTGTGAATGATCTGATGGAGAATGAAGGGGGGTTGTGATGAAGGAACTGACCTGAAGCTCCAGAGATCTGTACCAGGCTTTTGTGCAGAGCACCTGGCTCTGTATCAGGGCTTTTATGAGACCTAGAGCAGGCAGCAGCTAGTACCCAAGTGCAGCCCTGCAGGGCATGGGGAGAAGGACATGGAGTCTGGCTCTGGTCTGGGCTTGGTGGCTCCACAGGATCCATCCCTGCTGACCAGGAGGTGCAACAGCAGTTTCTGTTGAGCCTGGGGACACCAAGGCACACCTGGTGTGACCATAACCTATGTTAGCCCAGGTTCAGGCAGCTTCACCATCATCCCATCAACCTGCCCAGCTCCTGCTTAGCTGGTGAGCAGACCCACAACTCCTCGCACAGGTGTCACCTCCAGCACCTGCGGTCACAATACAGCCATGCCTACCCACCCTCAGTAGAGCATGGGAGTCCCTTTAGCTCTGTCCCTTCCCTGGGAATTCAATCTCAACCACAGCAGTATTCCAGTCACTCTCCATAGCTTTTTCCAAGGCTCCAGTGATTCTCTTCCCATCTCCTTGCAGCTCCCAGGTAACTCCTCCAGATGACACCTGTGTAAATGGAGGCAGCCACAGACCTCTCTCTAATAAGGTAAATATGATTATTTTGCTTTTGGGTTTAGTACAGCCAACTCATTCCCTGAGCTGCATAGGCTGTGTGTGACACTCCTTTTGCAAACATTGGTGCTTTGTTAGGGTGCTGTTTTGAAAGCAGATAGCCTACACCCGGAAATTATGGTATGTTGTCAATTTTCTCAAATGAGGCTGCAACAAAATTGTTAATTATTGACTTGACAGTACATCAGATAATCTTCCTTGGCTTCAGTTTTCCCACATGAAAAAGGGTGAGCAGTGCTGGGTTTTAGTAAAAGCTCTGGATACTGAAGGACACCAGACAGTAGAATTAAGATAATTCTGGACTTAGAACAAACATAGCTGAGATTTCAGCTGGGGTAAGAGTGCCTTGATGCCAGAATAAACACTCTAGTTTTACTCTGGCCTTCCTTTGGAAAAACTAGCTGCACACACATAGCTGCCAGCTTCTGTTGGCTGAGCTGACGCACTTCTTACAAAAACAGATTTAACTCAGACAGTGATTACAACAGACTTTCTTTGCCTTTATATGGTTGTTTCATGTTTGTCTGCATCTAGCTCAGCCTACTCCCAATTACGTCTTCACAGCCTAAGAAACAAGCTTTGTGTTTCTGGGCATCCTTTTCAATTTCTTGAAATAGTGTGGCACTGATGCTTGAGGGATGCTAAACCCACAACTTCTAGTCAGTTGTTGAAACCTGATGGCATCAATAAAGAATGATGCTGATAAGAATTAGAGCAGCCCCATTTTCCTCACAAGAAATGTGTTATTCTTGATCACTTTCCCCTAAGATTGCCATATTCATCTTTTTAAAGAGTGTTCTTAAATAAGCATCTGACTTTGTTTACACATGGAATAATTATTTGTCCAAATCTTCACCATATTTTAGCAGAAGGGTATTCTATTCCTAAGGAAAGTTTGCTCCAGGACATGGGCTATTAGCATTGCATTAGCAGAACAAGTCTGGAAGCTGGAACACGTATCTCTATGCTATTGACTTTTAGTTTGTACAGTAAGAAAGTGCAGCCTGTGTCTCTATATATGATAGCAGGGTTTTACTACAAACCAGCAATATCCCAGGAGACTGTTTTGTTTCTTCATGGGAAGCTTTGTCCTGAATCTGTGAGAGTCAGTGTAATAATACCACAAACTTGCAGCCAGCCTCAACTTTTATTATTCCTGGGTCAAAGCAAGATGCTGGGGTGCCAGAGTGTTGCTCAACCTTTTACCAAGTTGCCTTTTGTCTGCAACCTTCTTGACCGCAAGAGCCCTTCTTGCTCCTCAACAACTGCTAAGGTGTGGTCAGGTTTGCACTGTTTGGCATCCTGCTTTCTGTGGCCCCAGCACTGCTGCTAGGAATATTAATACCATGAAATTCCATGTTAGTAGTCCCAAAATTCCCTAAAGATGGTTTAACAGAACCAGAAAACAACACTGGCAAAGGCAGCAAAGGGCAGGCAGGGTCAGGGATGTTTGGGAAACAAAATCCTAGAGATGCTTCAAAAGGAGAAAACTGTGGCCAGAAAAGAGTCCAACTCCTGGGGCCATTCCTGCTTAGCAGGAGCTCACCTGGACTTTCTATATTGGCAATTTGTACCAGATTTCTACGCTTTCCATATCCTGGGTGACCCAGTAGCAGTGCATAAGCAGGTTGGCTCAGCCACAAATCAGACTTATCTGCCTGCTGAAAGTGAGGTAATTTTGATACCAAAGGTATGGATAGGTACTTTCAGCTGGCTTTTCTTCGCCTAAGATGGCTGAACATTTGCCTTAGTTCTGCATTTTCCTTTATTTGAGCAATATGTGTGTCACAATAGAGAATAAAAAATAGATTGTTTGAATAACATAAACCTTATCAACATGTTATCTTTTTGACACATTTAATTAATCCCACACAGAGCTACATTAGTCCACTACTGGAATATGACACACTAATTTCTGTCTACACCAATTATGCAGAATGAGGATTTCGGCCACTGAAATGAAAACACCTCATACAATTTTCTTATTCTGAACACTTCAGGAAGAATTGGATAAGGCATTTGCTTTTGGATGGCAAAGAGCCACCTCTGTTCACTTAACCAGGAGGACTAACAGCTCCGATCAAATTCAGAGCCAACAGAGAGACTCTGACTGGTGCACTTCAAAACTCAGGGGTGTATTGAGGGGCTGCATTTGGAAGAGCAGTATCACTCAGTGTTTGTGGTGGTGTGGATCCTCTCTGAGTTCGTATCACAACTGTGTAGCTCTGGGATATAACTATTCATTGTTTAAATGTAATTGAAAATTTACTATGTGGCGTAACTACCCAGGGTTGGCTTTTGTTCCAGTGTTGGTGGATGAAATCTGTGTGGTTGCATCACATGAACAGGGTTGTATGCAACAACAGGCAGCATTTTGGCTGTTTGCAGATGAGTTTGTGTTTTCTGTATCCCAAAAGTGCATCTATTGGTTCACATACCAGCTTTCTGGAAACCTCTAGCCAGCTGACCTCATGCCTCTTAGCTAAAGAATTTTAATATATCAGCTGTGAGGGTTATGTATTTTCCTACATTTGTTATGAATGTTTTAAGCAACATGCACGCATTTTTCCTAAAAAAATCTGTTGGGTTTTGTTGAGGTTTTTTTACTGTTCTTAGATTGAAAAAAACTGAACAGATTTTTAGGGGACTGAAATGGCAATAGGACTGCCTCTCAGACAATGAGTCCCAAGGTATTTCCATATTTAATAGCTAGTAGGTATGAAGATAGAAAGAAAGCCACTTTGATTTAATTTTTGGCAATACTGCTTTTAAAGAAGTTTAACCACTTGTTTAGAGGACAGTTGAATAGCTTACTTGGGGAGGCAGGAGAGGAAGGGAAGACCTCTAGTGCATGACATGGTTTTAGTTCATTAAACTGTGGAGTGTTTACATTTTTCTTTGCTAAAGGCAGAAACAGCCCATCTCTTTCAGCTGAGAGCTGCATTCAGGAAAGTGTGTTGAAATACAAAAAGCACAGAGCCAAGGAATGGCTTATGATGTTGCAGCAGAGTCATGTTTCTGGAAGACATTAGTGGGAGAATGTATTCTAAAATTTGTTAAGAAAAAGAAAGTTCTCACAGTCCAGAAGCATTTCCTGTAGTTCACATATGGCACACGGTTTTGTCAGGAGTTGTATTTCTCCCATAACCTGATAAGTCATTTTTGCTTTCTGTTGCAGAGGTCACAACAAAAGCTTTTGGCTTTATTGTCATCTCCTTGCATACCAACAGTAGTTCTTTAAATGTCATATCACAAAACCGAAGTTTACACATGCTGCTGAACCAGGCAGGTGGAAATGAAGCACTGTGTATGTGCTGACACACTTTGGTGGGTACTGTCAGTTTTACTGAAAATAGAGGTTCTTCATTCTGCTAGAAGTTTGTTTCATGATGTCTCCAACACAGAGCAGAGTCTGAAATTTGTTTCAGGGCTTCAGAGATCCCTGTAACATTTTGGTGATGCCTGTGCCTGAGCTAGAGCATTTCATCCTCTCAGTTCTGGGAATGAAGTCAGCATCTAATTATAACAAAAAAAAACCATAAAATTGAACCTGTGACACTTATCTGCAGCCTCTAAAATCATGGAAGAGCTTTCACAGCTGACCATCTTTTGAATTAATGATAATTGCATTTAAATGTGATAATACTTGGCTAATAGGATATCAGCAGAGATCTGTGTCATACACAAGGTGTACAGATGGTGTAAATACACTGACAACAAGTGACGTCTTAAAATATTTACACTAAAGAGAAACTGCCGGGAGGGTCATTTTTTGAAAGGGCAATCTGAGGTGGTGTTTTTGGAAAAACAAGGCACAGAACAGTGTTGACGTGCCTCAGGGTTATCCAAGGTGGGTCAGGATGGGGATGGGGAGCAAGCATGCACAGCTTCAGCAGCACACCGGAAAGCTGCCAAATGCCAGGACCTTGCTCCTTTTCCTGCAGAAGGAGGATCGGCCTTCAGAAGTTTAGGAAATCCTGCCGCAAATGAAGAGAAATGGTTGTACTGAGATTCCAGATGAAACCTCAAATCTGTATACTGGCACAAACTAAACTGAGAAAAATGGACCAAAAAGATGTTCCTAGTGTTTCCCTTCTCCTTCTCAGATGCAAAGAAAGGTATGTACAACGCATATTCAGGCTCCCATTTGTCAAGGTGCTATCTAAACAAGACATTTAAAGCCCACTATGGACTAAAATTCTCTGTTGCATAGTTGTAGTTTTTCAGATCTGGGCTCTGTGGTACTTTCAGCATAAGCTGCATACCCAAAAAAAATGGTGCTACTATACTGGAGAAGGAAGGAGAAAAAGGGGGAATGAGAATACCAGTGCCATCCCAGCTCCAGCAAGGAAATCTAACTGTTTTTGCAAACAATCTTCATTGCTCCAAATTCATCCTAAAAGAGCTGGGACAGAGGTCTAAAAGACTTATTTTAGCAGCACATGCAGACTAAATGAGAAAAGATTCCGCTTTTGATTGCTTAGTCCCATTGTGAAGTCTTCAAATTAGTCCATTAGACAGTTATTAATTAGCATCACTCTAGAGGAAATATCTTTATTTAATAAAACATAAAAAGGGCTTTGGTAATCCCCATTTTAGGTCAACAATCTAGACTAAACTTTTTGCTGAAGTTTTTTGTTGATAGTTTTTGTCTCTTTTTTTTAACTTCAAAGGTGCTCAAAGAGGACACAATGGTTTAGTGAATTGGATCCAAGAGACATTTCACCATGCTTAAGGCAGATGTTATCAACACGGATCATTTGTATTGGCAGTCCTTCAAAAGTTACTCTCTAACCAAGCTCAAATCAGGTGAGTCTCACGGAAAACTCCTACTTGATTCTGGCCATGGCTTCAAAGTCTGCAGCCACACAAATGAGAAGATGACTATTAAATTTTAACTGACATTACAGCTTCCATTTGATCTATTAAACTTGAATAACCTCTGATTGGTAAATACATACTTTTAGACATCTGCACGTTAGCAAACACATGGAGGCTGATCAAAAAAGTTTGTCTCCCCTGGGGTTTGAATGTAGCTTTTTTAGTAAAAATTTGAATGGTTGCATCTTTAATATATTGTAAGAATTTTTTCTACATTGCTTCTACATCATGCTGGTGCATTTTAAAAAATCAGCAAATTTTACAAGTTAGTGAATTTCTTTCCTTCTCTTCTCCTCTTCTGTTTCTGCTTCCTCTTCCTCTTCCTCTCCCTCTTCCTCTCCTCTCCTTTTATTTTTTTGGTAAGTAGAAGGAATTAAAAAATACATAAAAAACCAACAACAATTCCTTTGAACAAGCTGTGAGATATCCTTTTAACTCTGTGTTGGGCAGCCAACCCACCGTTCAGAAGCCGAGGAAGCTGCTACAGACTCTGCCAGTCATCAGATTCAGATTCAAAAAAAACAAATGGCAGTGCTTGTTTGCACTTCTTTTACAAAATTAACTCTGCAAGTGAATCACATAAACAAAGCACCAGTCCCGGCAAATAATGTTGGTATTTAATTTACCCACACTGGGTATTCAGAAATTTGCTCATGTGAGAGAGTGAGTTGCACCCTCTCTGCACTGTCACACCAGGGTTGCTGCAGCCTCTCCACTTACTTTTGGGGGGGCTGGGGAGTCTGGGGGTGGGGAAGAAGGGATCTGAGACAATGCAACTGTAACAGTGAGAAATGTTCTTTATGTTCCTCTTTGTGTATGTGTATGTGATATTTTTGTTTGGTTTTCTGATAAAGAAAGTTGAGTTCAAGGGGTGTGTGGGGGGGAGGGCTGGTGAGGTGCACTGGTCACTTCTGAGCCCTAATTCTTGCAGATTCAAATGTCTGTTCCAGGCTGCTGCAAGGCATTAAAAATGCAGAGGTTTGCTTTTGTGGGGAGGTGTATCTGCCACACAGTCTCTTCTGAGGGGCAGGTCTCTGGCCACACTGATTAGGGTGAAAGGCTGGAGTCACATACATTACAAACAGCATCTTCCCCAACTCTAGAAATGAAAAAAGTACTGGAGGAAGCAAGATATTTTTTATTCTTCTCACATGAGAGAGGCCCCAGCTCAAGTGTAAGGTTTTGCTTATAGGGAAGAAAGGTCAAACACGCTTGGTGGCTTTAGCTAACTTAGTTTTGTTCTGGAAAGACTCAGCACATATTTAATATGGCTCCATAGAGCTGACAATCCTCTTTTGCTGATATCTCCAGTCTTCCTTCCTGAGCACCAATTTTCTGAAACGCATTGCTTTGTCTAGCCTGTCACTAATTGAACATTAATTATTCTAAAAACGTCCTCTTTGTGTCTGAAGGGATTTGATCTGGCTGTGAAAAACAACCCCCAGCTCTCTCTCTTGGTCTGCCACATTGGCCTGCCAGTGCAGAGCCCAGGCTGTCACTACCCGGGCATCCCACAAAAGATGTTGAAAAGCTGTATCACCTTCATTTCTGAAAATTGCCACAGTCAAAGGGAGGGATGGGAAAGATATTCTGCTTTTCATACAAACGGGATGAGCAGCAAACTTGGTGCTGTAACCTGGATGGTTGCAGCACACCATAACTGGACAAAGAGGCTGCACAGACCTAATCAATGTGCTATCTACAAGGAAAATATTTGAACTGAAGTAGGCCTCTTTAGACACTCTGTTAATGTACAACACACTACGTGCACTGGCTGCTGTCCCAGTGACACAGCGAACTAGAAAACGCACCACTCGGATTCACGTGCTCACGTGTTCCAAGCCAGCCTGAAATTCAAAAGGCTTTTGTAAGCTTCAGTCCTGTACCCATGACACCTGGTCATTCTCTGTAGTCAGAAGGAGTACACAAATTCACAGGTATTACCAAAGTTTGGCATCATGGTTACAGTTGTACTTTAGGACATTTCTTAAAAACTTTTTAAAACCGCAGCCTAAGAAATACATCACTACTTTTCCCCTGTGAAGACCAATCCTGCAGGGCACTCCAGGGAGAAATAGGACTTATACAGGGCTCTATTGTGCTATATTTTCTTTTTCAGGGGTATTTTCATTTCTTTAAAGACATATTTATGGAGTTAAAAAAGCATATCCACTGGTCTTCTCACTGTAAGGTTTTCCTACATGGTGACAAAAAATGTACTTCGCATTTTTTCAGTTTTCTGAGACCAAAAGAATGTAGTGAAAATCATGAGCTGAAAGATGTACCAAGATACTTAAATTCACTGGAACATAGGCCCCATTCAGAAATGTGCTTTTATGAACTCTATAAATATACTTTATACAGAATAAACCATTAACTAGGAGACCATTATTAAAAATAACCTAATATAAACACATTGCAGCTTAGACCAGGGATTTTACTGAATTAGTTCCTAGCTGAATATATGCAGTCATAGGATGGTTTATGTTGGGCAGGAACTTAAAGATCATCTCATTCTAACCCCTCTCCCATGGACAGGAACACCTTGCACTACACCAGGTTGCTCAGGGCCCCATTGAACCTGGCCTTGAACACTTTCAGGGATGGAGCATCCACAACTTCTCTAGACAACCTGTTCCAGTGAATAATTTCCTCCTAATATCTAATTTAATATCTAATTTAAACCTATTCTCTTCCAGTTTAAAGCCACTGTCCCTTGTCCTATCACTAAATTTAGAATAAAGTCTAATTTGATTTCAAAATTGGTATTGATGGACTGTCCACAATAGTGCTTAACAAATTGCTCCAGCAAGTGAGATGGTCGAAACTTTGCAGTTTACTTAAATCATTTATTATCATCTCCTATTACTTGAATCTTGTCACATGGGTAAGTTTCTGGTCCTTCTATTCTGACAAAGAGTTCTCATATTTCTGATCTCCGTGTAAGTACTGTAGAGTCACAGAGAGGTGGATGTTGTCAGGGACCTCTGGACATTATCAAGTCCTCTTCTCAAAGCAGCTGCATCAAGGGCTGGTGCCCAGGGCTCAGCCTCGTCCAGCTTTGAATATCTCCAAGGGTAGACACTCCAAAATCCCTCTTTGTTTGATTACCCCAAAGTGAAAAAGTGGGGTTTTTTATGGTTAAGGGGAATTTCCTGTATTTCAGTTTTGCGAATTGCCTCTTGTCCTGTCACAGTCCTGTTAGCACAGAGAAGAGTCTGGCTCGTTCTTCTTTACTTCTCACCACAACTATCAGGTATTTATAAACAATAATACAATGTTCAGTTAATTATTCCCTGTGATCTCAAATTGGTTTTAGAATCCATTTCTTTCCACTTCAATGACTACTGCCTAGCTTCTTCCATTTTGGACAAATTCATTCCCATTTGCAAATGTACATTCATCATCCAGCTTGTCAGCACGTGCAGATGGAGTTGTGGCAGTGGGTTGGTCTCTTCACGTTCACCAGCTTTCTGTCTTCCTCATACATTGTCATAAGTGAATTTTAATTTTTTCTGCGTTTGAGATTTGCTAAAGTGGCTCAAGTGGAGGACCATAGCAAACTCGTTTAGCTCTTGCTCTGAAGTTCATGTTCCTAGTAGTGTAACAAGTGAGAAGACTGGGAATGGGAAAAGGCAGAGGAAGAAGGGACACTGAATGACTGAATTTGGTCAGGGACTTGGAAGTTCATAATAATTTGCAGTCATTTATTACTCTTATTTGGTAATTCTATACTAAGAGTAGATTTTACTTGCAAGATCTGGCAAAGAGGTGGTTACAACTTATTATTACAGCTTTGTTATTCAAAAGAGAGATTAAGATAGAAATTAATTGACAGTCTACCCACAGTTGCACTTTACAATTCATAATGCAGTACACGAACAGGAACAGTCTATTCTATAAACTTGCTCAGGTTCTGTAGATCTATAGATCTAGAACAGACAGGCCAGTGACTCAAGGAAATCCTCCTAAAAGATACTGTAGTCATGGCTCACAAAAGCCCACTGAAATCACGACCAATAAGAATGAGTCACCTCAGTGCGAGCACCGTGCCCCTGATCATTCACTGGGCTCTTATCTGGCTGCTTTCCTGATAGTGGGAACTTGAAAAGTGCCTTACCTCTCAGGAAAAGTGGTAACTGCTAATATGTAATCTTAGGTTGTTGAACTCAGTCTGAACCCAATTTATTTTTACTTCTGCAGAGAGGACATGAATTATCCTTCTGACACCGGATCTGAGTAAGCAGATGCACTCCTCGTGATCACACGCGTTCTATTGCAGGAGGCAGCAGCAGGCTCCAGTGCTTCCTCCCAGCACTCTGTTCCTATATATATTGCTATGTGGCATGGATGTGCTTACATGGTCATGTGGGAAAATGATTGTGTACCCTGGGGAAAAGCATGTAGGAGTGAATTCTTCTCAGACAGGAGAGAGTCCGCAGGAGTTCACAGCTGAGAACAACCCTCCGTTGATTAGCCACCATTGTAACACTGTTTACAGTGGGTTTCTATGTTGCCTCTGTTTCTCTCTCAAGAAACAAAACTGCATATTTACCATAGCACCTGTCATGAGCTATGTTAAACAGGAGCACACTTTAGAAAAATCACTAATTTTAGAATGATCATAAATATTTATACCAGACAGACCATAAACAGCACCTTAGAGACCGTGCTGTGTTTTTATAAATCCCTCTTAATTTAGAAAATGTTGATTTGATAGACTGAGGCAGCCATAGCCAACAAATGCATATTTGAGAAAACTGCTCTCTAGACTCCTGTGACCTAAATTTCCTCATTTGTATAGTATTCAGCTTTTGTTTCTGATTAAAACTACTTTTACGAGGTGCCTACCATATATTTTTCTTTTATAACTCTATATTCATCCTAAGTTCTCACGCTACAAAGTTTGCTCAGATGTAGGCATTAAG